TTTTTTGTTTGTTTTATAGCTGAAGTTCTTTTAAGATGATTGATATTAGAAACTTCATTAAATCTAAGGAATCTAATTCAAGTGGGCAATAGGACAGACCGGTTAAAACTATGGATAAAATATTGGTATAGACACATTGTTTTAACATGTTCTTTTATTATTAGATTTAAATTGCTATTGTATTTCATTAATATTTTCAAGTTTTAACAAGCAGCACAAGTTTAAGCAGATTTACTCAGTGTTTTCAGTGGAGTTTACTCCCATATAGTTGTTTATAGAACTGCTCCTGCTAAGCTGTGGAGTCTTGTATTGAAAAATTCTACTTTGTGAGCTATTGGCATTAAAGCGATTCGGCTACTTTGCTCTGGAGCCATCCTTCCTGAGCTAAGACAAAAATGAGTGAGCCAGAGGCTAAAAAACTGTGAGCTAGCTCACACTAAATCAGCTTAGAGGGAACACTGTAAGATACGTAAAATAAAAATACAATAATAAGAACAGCAATAGGATTAAACAGAGGCAGAACAAAAGTTTATAATTAAACCAATTTGCCATCCACTGGAATTTCAACTAATCTCCAAACTACCGACGTCAGTTCCCCTGAAGAAAATGGCTGCTTTGGAGGGGGGATTCTGTGATGTTACAGCCTGCTAAGCTTCCTCCCCGCCCCCCCCCTTCCCAGGCTCCACCCACAAATCTCCAGGAATTTCCCAACCTGGAGTTGGCAGCCATAAATTATGTGTAATTTGACCCTAAAGGCAGTAACAGAATTACAGGACAATCCTAAACAGAGTCTAGTAAGCCCACTGACTTCCATGGCACCTGGAAATCTGCTATTACAATTGATCTCCAGGTGACCAAGATCAATCCGCTTGGATAAAATGGCTGCTTCGGAGGGTGGACGGACTGCTGAGGCCCCTCCCTTTGCCAAACCCCACCCTCTCCCTGCTCCACCCCCCAAATCGCCAGGTATTTCCCAACCGAGAGCTGGCAACCCTACACACAGCATTTTGTCTACAAGGCTCTATCAGCAGTTCAGGAGTTAGGGGCATCTGCTAGGGAAAGGAAATATGGGGAAGACCTGCATTCATAGGGTCAGATCCAGCCCCATAAAGCAGCATTGTATTTAATAACCTGGAAGCTGCTTCTGTTGCCCAGCAATCTCTTAGGAGCCTTTCCAAGCTAGGTCCTAGGGTTGCCAAGTCCCTGTATACTCACAGGCGTGGTCGAGCTCGCCGGGGGGAAAACCATGTGGTTTTCCCCCCAACGAGCTCAGCCACGCCCCCAACGTCAGCAACGTGGCTGCGTCACCTCTGGTGACACAGCTTTGGGGGGCAGAGTTCCCCCCGGGGCCCGATTCCGCCACGGCGGAAATCGGGCCTCCAAAGCGGGGGTTTCCCCGCCCCCACTTGGCAGCCCTACTAGGTCCAGATCTCAAGGCCAAACTGTCATTGCCTCCCACAATGGCATTAAAGCTCTGTCTCTTATTCTGAATGCTATTTCATTATATTAATAAATATGTACCTTGAATTGTATGTTTGCAGACTACACACGCTGGGCCTCAAAGCCCACCAGAATGTGGCTGCCGGGGGGATTTTGGATATCGAGCTTATCAAGGCCCACCAGGGCCTCCAGGAATGTTTAGGTAAAAAATAATTAAGAACCCCATTGCTTCAGGGTGCTGGCTATCTGCAGAAGCTCAGTGGGGAAAGATGTGGTAGAGTTAACCTACCTTAAGTCCGTGCCACCCCCTTCCTGGTTTCTTGTTCTGCCTTAATTAGCCAAAACAACTGGTAGATACAGCATAGCGATAGTAGCTCTTATTCTGCTTCCACCACCACCCAGTCACTCTGCACCAAATGTATACTGGGGAAACGGATTAACACTGTCCTTATGCTAAAAGCACGCAAACTGGAGGCTTGAGAGCTGAGCTTATGCAAAAGGGTATGTTTTGCTCAGCAAGTGCATTTGGAGTGAGGTGGTTATTCTGCCTTTGGCACCAGTAGTTTTCGTAGCTGGGCAGACAATCTCTTTGTTGATGTTCTGTTAATAAGAATTTCCAGTAATAAAAGTATGACATACTCAGTTGCATAAAGTGCTTCTATAAGCAGCTTTGGGTGGCAATATAGATATAAATAGTAAGGTTCCTTTAGCATAAGCTCACAATGATTAATAGGGTTTATTACATAAATCAGCCACCAACCTTTCCGTCCACAAAAGTACTGCATAAAATTTCAATTATGTGCACTGAGATGTGTCCAATAAGATCAGTGGTACAGAAGGAGTTACTTAAAACTGATGAGTGCATTTTAAAAATTTACAACTGAAGTAATGTGCAGTTTTGACAACTTAATAAAAGACAGTATAATGTTTTTAATTATACAGTGCATCAACTGAAAAATAATTTAAAAGAACCCCTTTTCTCCTGAGTTCTTATATGAACCCAGAAAATTATGTGCTTCCTTGGGTAAATGATGACATACATCACAGGATGTCTATTTCTAGGTCCACGGGTCATGTCTAGACATGTTCCATCTGTTATATAATTTAAAGGCTAACAAATTGATTCAGGTTATCTTTGTAAGTACTGCAGCCACAATTATAGTCTCCTTAGAGGACTTGTAGTGCACTCCTAAAAGCATAAAACATAAGAAGAGTCTTGTTGGATCACAGCAGTGGTCCATCTAGTCCAGCATCCTGTCTCACACAGTGAACACTTTCCTGGACTAATCTCCATTTAATAGACCTCAGTAGGATTCTGATTAGATCCTCTCAGGATTGCTTTCTTGGATGTGGACAACTTTTACCAGCATTTGTGGTGTCCCACAAAAATTCAGTTTAGGGTTGTTGCCGAAAGCTAGAATTATCTACTTTACAGCAGATTATTTTTAAGCCCCCCTTCCCTCCGGCTTTTTCTGTACTCCTGTATGGCTCTCTAGGCTAAGGGGAAATCCATCCATTATATCACTAAACCAGATCTGAGGGGAGGGGATGTGGTGCAGGCGGCTGAGCATCTGCTTCAAATGCAGAAGGTCCCAGGTTCAATCCCCAGTTTCTCTAGTTACAAAGATCCAGCGGTAGGTGAAGTCCTTTGCCTGAGGCTCTGAAAAGTTGTTGCCAGTCAGAGTATACAATATCAGTGTGCATTGCCTTGCTAGCGATATATGCAGGACACAATCTTTCCAGACTGAAACCAAGGCAATCCTATATATATAATTTCCAGCTCTCCCATTTCCAGCTCTCCCATTGGATGTGCGGTGTGCTCCATCAGCCATTGGCTCATCAACCACCACTCAAGAGTACTCGCATGCCATTGGCTGGGTGCTGGGTCCGCTCCTCTCCCCCGCTCACTGCCAGCTTGGCCACTTTCCTGTCAGAATAAACTGCAAAATGGCTCTCTTCTGCTTGGCTCTGCCATGGCTGGCTGGCTACTGAGGTGGGCCAGCGGCCATCAGACCATTCTCTTCAACCTCCTGCTGTGCAGCTGACTTTCCCCTCGGGTTGCCAATCTCCAGATGACAGAGATCAGTTCCCTTGGAGAAAATGGCTGCTTTAAAGCCGCCCTGAGCCTTCGGGGTAGGGCGGGGTATAAATTTAAATATTTAAATTTAAATTATTTAAATATAAATAAATAAATAAATAAGTATTGCACCCTGCTGAGTCCTTCCCCTCACCAAATGCTGCCCTCCACAGGATCCACCCCCCAAATCTCCAGGTATTTCCCTACTCCAAGTATTTCCCCTACTTTCCCCTCAGTGCCTGTTGCTAGGCAGCCAAGCTTGGTTCTGTCAGTAAAAGGTGGGGGGAGGAGACCCTTTCCACGCCTATTTTGGCCTTTGGGAGAAAACTCATTGGGGCCAGTCCTGACTAGGGTTGCCAGCTCTTGGTTGGGAAATTTTGTGGTGGAGTCTACGGAAGCCAGAGTTTAGGGAGAAGAGTGGCCTCAGCTGAACAGAATGCCATAGAGGCCACCCTCCAAAGCTGTTATTTACTCCAGGGGGAGAGAGAGATCTGTTGTCTGCAGTCAGAGCAGGGTCTGCCAGACCCAGGTTCTTGCTGTGGAAGCTGAATGGATGATGTTGGACCAGTCACAGACTTTCAGTCTAACCTACCCCACAGGGTTGTTGTGCAAGTCAAAAGGGGGAGAGGAGAATAATGTAAGCTGCTTTGGTCCCCATTGCAGAGAAAGACTGCAGTTTTCCTCCTGGGGAACCATTGTTGCCAGTCTCCAGGGGAGGGCTGGAGGTCATTCAGAATTATAACTGCTATCCAGATGGCAGAGATCAGTTCCCCTGGAGAAAATGGTGGACTCTGTGTCCTTATACCCTGCTGAGATGCCCCCCCCTATGACAGCCAGTGTGATGTAGCAGTCAGGACTTCAGAGCAGGGTAGAGGCTGCAGGGGGGGGGATGGAAAGCTGAAGTCAGAGGGGCAAATAAAGGTAGGCTGGAAAGGAGATAGGGTTGCCAACTCCAGGTTGGAAAATTCCTGGAGATTTGAGGGATGGAGAGGGTGTGGCTTGAGGAGGGGTGGGACCTCAGACAGGTACAGTGCCATAGATGCCACCCTCCAAACCAGCCATTCCCTCCTGGAAAACCATTTTTGCCAATCTCCAGGTGGGGGCTGGAGCTCACTAAGAATTACGACTGCTCTTCAGATGGCAGAGATCAGTTCCCCTGGAGAAAACAGTAAGCTCTGTGTCATTATACCCTGCTGAGGTCACCACAGCAAATTGACACTGAATGCCCAAGGCCAGGGCACCCGCCCAGAGCCTCTTTCTAGAGTTCATTGTATTTATTTCCACAACGGACCTTATTCCTAGTTCACAATATTTCCATACTGAAACCAAGGCAATTCACAGTATTTCCAGACTTAAACCAAGGAAATTCACTCGTTACTAAACAGGCAGTAGTATCCATTATTATTCTTTTGTGCTTGAGCATGCAAACAGTTCCATCTCTTAAGACACCACCAGTAGAAGGACAATGCGAGAGTCATTCACCATGGGTAATATTGATTTTGTCTGCAGCTGCAGATTCTGTTTTCCCCAGGCTCTGAAGAATGTCATTCCAACCACAAAATTTCTGTTTCCACCTACTGTTCCACTCCTTAGAAATTCAGTATGGGCCCTGTTGTGCAAATAAACCCCACAATCCTCAAGTTACTAACTTCTGCTCAAAATGCAACTTAGAGAAGACTACAGGCAAAAGACAGTTGGAGGAAGCATCCCATTTCTTAAGCAGATCTTTTAAACATGAAGCAAAAGAGACAAACAAATCCCCTCCTTGATCATTTTAAGGAAATCATGGAAACAATGGAAATAACGGAGCACCCGGAACTGAAGGATCAAAAGGTGACAAAGGAGACAAGGGGGATTTGGGACCCAGAGGAGAGCGGGGCAACCATGGACCAAAAGGAGAGAAGGGACACCCTGGCATCCCAACAGAACTGCAGGTAAAAAACCGAGCTAACTGTGCTTTCCCCCATTGTTTTCATAAGGGGAGGCTCCCTTGTTCAAAATCGGTGATCAGTTGAGAATACTATAACATGATTTTTTAAAAATAATCCAAACAAAATTTTAAACTTAATGATTAAAAGTACAGGTCAATTACTGCATTACTGGGAGACATCCAATTCCCCAGGCAGTGGTTTTGGGGGGCCAGAAGTATTCAGGTTTTATAATAGAGAGACTTCGCTGTTATGGGTGTTTTCTACATGGGGATGGACTTGTGTGGTTTCCCCATTGCTGCTGCAGCTGCCAATACAGTGCAACAGCAATGGGGCTTCCACATGGAAAGATTATCTGCATTTTTCATGCCTTAGTCCTCTTAGTCTCTTGAGAGTCCCTTGGACTGCTAGGAGATCAAATCAGTCAATCCTAAAAGAAATCAACCCTGACTGTTCCCTGGAAGGCCGGATAATGAAACTGAAGCTCAAATACTTTGGCCACCCAATGAGAAGGGAGCACTCACTGGAGAAGACCCTGATGATGGGAAAGATTGAAGGTCAAAGAAGATGGGGACAGGAAAGGATGAGATGGGTAGTGTCATAGATGCAACAAACATGAAATTGAGCGAACTTCAGAGGACGGCGGAAGACAGGAGGGCCTGGCGTGATCTGGTCCATGGGGTCGCGAAGAGTCGGACTCGACTGTGCGACTGAACAACAACAAAAAAGTCCTCTGCAGTACCCAATCCCCCCAGCACCACTGGGGGGGGGGCTCTTTCAAGGTTTTTTAAAGCAGCAATTGATATGTCCTTGTAGTATTATTATAACGTTATAACAATTTGTCCATCAGGTTCTCTGTCCCGGAAGCTCAACTGATCCAGAATGCAGCTGTGCAGGTTCTTACTGGGACCCTTTGGACAGCACATATCCAACCAGTGCTGCGCGAGCTGCACTGGCTTCCGGTGGAGCACTGTATCGGGTTCAAGGTTTTGGTTCTGACCTTTAAGGCCCTTAACGGTCAGGGACCTACATACCTTTGGGACCGCCTCTCCCAGTATGTCCCCAGAAGAGCACTGCACTCAGGAAATAAGAACTTCCTAGTGGTCCCTGGACCGAGAGAAATCTGGCTGTCCTCAACCAGAGCCAGGGCATTTTCAGCCCTGGCCCCTACCTGGTGGAACTCTGTGCTGGAAGACATCTGTGCCCTGCGACAGTTACTACCTTTCCGCGGGGCATGTAAGGCAGAGATGTTCTGCCAGGTATTTGGTTGAGGACAGTGATGGGGGGGACGGACATCCGGCCCCCATCCCTCGCAACCCCTCCCCCCAAGGAGGTTAGAGGAGCTGATTTTCCGCCATCCGGTATATGTTCTGTTTTTATCCATTGATTTGTTGTAACGGTTTTAAAGTCGTTTAATTGTTATTATTCTGTTGTAAGCCGCCCTGAGCCATACTAGTAAGGAAGGGCAGCCTAGCAAGTCTAATTTAATAAATAAATAAAATTCCCAGCTTTCATATTTCTAAAAGGTTAGGTCTCTCTTTTTTAAATTGCAGAGACATGGTAACAGACTTGTTTAAGGAACCAACATTAAAAAAGGTTTCCAAGTGGTCCCCTGTGCAGCCCCCACACAACAGATCTTAAAAGTTACAGTCACCTCCCCCCAGAACATAGAACAATTAGAACCAATTGAGAGCCAACCCACACTCAGATGTACAAGAGCACCACCCACTGGTGGGGATGGTTATATAACCATTTACCATCTAAGGGGAAATGATTATTTTTGCAACAAAAGGGGCTAGAGACTTTTTTTTAGTGAAAGATTGGAATTCAGAGAATTTACAACCCCCCAAGATGATGAAAGGAACACCTGTAGCTTTCAGAAATGGATGTCCTCAGTGGCTGTTGCTAGGCAACTACAGCACTATTGTCAGCCTTCAAGACTTGTTTCCGTCAGAAAAAAGTCAAGGTAGGACCCTTTCCAAGACTGTTTTGGCTTCGAGAGAGAATTGGAGCCAGGCACAGCAGCAACCACTGGGTGACTTGGTACCATGACTTACTCTGGCCTGGCTGCTTGTTACTGTACAACAGCAGCCACCCCACAATAGCCAATATGGTGTGGTAGTTAGTTTCAGACTACAGTATAGGAGAGCCAGGTTCAAATCCACACTGTGCCATGGAAGCTCACTGGATTACCTTGGGACAGTCATACTTTCTCAGCCTAACCTACCTCATAGGGTTGTTGTGAGGATAAAATGGAGGAGACAGATGTAAGCTGCTTTGGGTCCCCATTGTGGAAAAAGGTGGGATATATTAGAAGTAAATAAATAATAAACATAGGTGAAGGAGGGGAGATAAAAGTGAGTAGGAAGGAAAGGATGCAAGGAAAGGTGATGATATGGGGATATCTGTTCCACAGAGCTGAAACCAGAGTGTGCCACCTTCAGAAGCCAGGTGCCCACAGAATAATGCCTCTTGGTGACACAAAGCAAGCTAAACTGTATGGGCTGACACGAAAATATCACCCAGTGGTTGCTGCTGGGCCTGGCTCGAATTAATGCTCTCTCGAATATTTTTTTTTAACCAAAATAGATAACCATAACTGCATGCACTCGAAAGGTTATACCCAGAATTAAACTTCAATTGGTCTTAAAGGGGCCACCGGACTCAAACTTTGTTCCATAATTATTACATTTAGCATAAGAACAAAGTCAGAATCCAGTGGCCCCTTTAAGACCAACAAAGTTTTACTCAAGGTGTGAGCTTTCATGTGCACGCACACTTTGTCAGACGATTAAATGGAATTATATATCATAGATAGTTGTGTATATAGGAGTGGTTTGTTAAATTAGCGTGCCACCTTGATCTACATTTAGCATTGTTAGATCACTGCCCAGAGATGGTGTTTAAACACTCCAAGATGTAGAAAGGCTGCCGTTCCCATGGTGTTCTCCCATTATCTCATACACCCGCTCCTGGAGGGCTCTAATTTTAGCCCAACAGAGGCAGGGGAAGAGGACAGAGGAGAGGATCGATGGAAGAAAGAAGACTGAGTTATGGTCTGACTCAGTGCTGCGAGGCGTTTAAGGATGAGGGGAGGCCACCGCTGTCAAATGAGGACATACCAATCTTCATTGTATCACAGCCCTATCAGATTGCACGCAAGAATTTTTGACTTCCCCAAAAGACTGCAAGCAGTGACATTCCTTTTGCACTTCCAAAGCCTCAGGTGGGCTCCACATTAGATATTTTCTCCAAAATTGTCAGCAGTTGCTCATTTATTCCAGAAAATCCAGACGATGTTGGTGTAAACCCCCCCCCCCCCAGTTTTCCTTGCTATCATTTCACTTTATTCCAGTGCAGTCTTATTGCTTCTGTTACTGTTGCCATGCAGTTCTTCCTGATGTAAGCTGACTGTGCTGCTGTTGTCTCGCCAGAGACACAGTAGTGCAGGGGTGTCGAACTCATTTGTTATGAGGGCCGGATCTGACATAAATGAGACCTTGTTGGGCCGGGCCATGTGTGTCATAAAATGTAATGCCAGGTAGCAGAGATATAAACGTTATAAAGGACACAAACACAAAGATTTTTTTTAACTTAAAATAAAAACATGCTTAAAACATTAGCTCTGTAAGCTGCAAACCTACTTTTGATTTATTGACATTCACCACAGAAATCTCATGCTCAGAGTTCTGAGTCTAGGACCCAGATTAAAATATGACATGGCTGAGCGATTAAGAGAGTCTAGCGAAGCAAGCTATGATGCAGCAGCAGCAGCGGAACTGGAAGCAGGAGATGGCCAGTTCCACTGCGGGCCTGATGGAAGCCCTCCGGGGGCCTCATTTGCCCCCCGGGCCGCATGTTTGACACCCCTGCAGTAGTGGTTACTGATACTTGTTGGTTACTGTGTGCAGTCTTGCCTCTGCTGCAGGGGCATCTCTCCAAACTAGGGTTGCCAAATGTTACCTACCTTGCTGGCGAGGGACTCCAGCGTGGCTCCCGGTGTGCGCGCACACGCCGCATGCACATCACAGGGAAGTGACGTCATGACGCTGGGCACGCTGGGGGTGGGGCCACGACCATACAAGGGAAAACCATAGAGTTTTCCCTTGTATGGCCGTGGCTCCGCCCCCAGCGTGTCCGGCGTCATAACGTCACTTCCCTGTGACGTGCACGCTGGGACAGGGTTCCCCCCCGGGGCCCGATTCCCAGGCATCGGGAAACGGGCCTCTGGGGCGGGGGGATTTCCGCCCCCCGGGGGGGATTTGGCAGCCCTACTCCAAACCCCTACTACAGCCATGATTTTTATTTTTATAGTAGTCAAACCGTTTCCCTGCCATCTCTGCAGGTGGTCTAGAGAAGGTCCTCTAGGCTTTCTGAGAATGGAAAGCAGTGTTAGTTCTACTTAAACAAATAATAATAAAGTTGACCATAAGGGGCAGACCAAGGTTGCTGAAGCTGGTGGAGAAGGTTTCCTTCCTCTTGCATGGGGACCAGATAATGTATACTCATCACCACTAGCACTTGTAAGGTGCGAGTAAAAATAAAATTTCTCATTTTTGGTTTCGCTTGCTGTTCCCTAGAAGCATGGGTATTTTGGCACAGTTATGGAGGTAGCAGGAGGAATCTCAGCAAGTGCTCTCAAAAGTTTGAATATCATTTTATGGTGTTTAAAGGTAGATATATATTTAGTAGCTGGTCCTTTCGCAGGAATGATTTTCATTGTTAAGTAAATTCTTGGCACTGCTGAATAGCAAATCAACCAGCTGGACTGACAGGAGGCACTGAAGCAGGACTCTGGTGAAGCAGAGAGATAATAATGTGCAAAGAGTGAGAGTTAAACAATCTTTCATAGTCAGAAAAAAGAAGTGGGAATTGGCAGTCGCTGTACACCCCCCTGGCAATGCATGCCATTCTATGCATGAAAGGAACCCCGTCCCTAATCCTTCACTAATGTTCAAAGCCTTTCCCTGCATAATAGTGGTTGGAATACCTGTGGAGTTTTAGGA